TCAATACTCCTTAGCAAGATATTGAGGTGTTCATCTCAAATGCTTGGATACCAACAATGGAACAAAATTGTGGGCAAAGAAAGGTAGACATTTGTCGTCGAAGTGGCATCGTCCACCAACGTCCTGTGCCATAAAGCCTTCGGCCAAATAGAATAGTTCAGCGCGTTAACATAAATATTATGCAAAGAAGCTGCTGCATGCTCTGCGACAAAAATCTTTCGACTGAATGATTGGCGGGAGTGGCGAACACAGTAGTTTATACGATTAATAACTTTGCAAATTTAGAATCTGTCTTTCAAGATGAATTCTCGCGTAGATAACTTTTGCATTTTTGGGAGCAGGGTGTTGACGATGCAAAAAAACAAAGCTTGAGCCCAAAAAATTACGTGTTTTTCTCGTTTATGCAAATATGTTAAGAGTTACCACGTATTTGTCGTGGAGAATGTCAAGATTTAAGTGTTTTGTTATGTGAGATTGAATAAGCATACTCTACAGCCAGATTACAAGCATTCAAATTATAAAGGAAATTGATGATGGGTTATGTTCAAAACCAAGTGAATCATTAGCTCGTTCGGAATGACCCTATGAACTTCCGCGAAGCCCAAGTAAGGGACATCGAAATGGACGATGTTGATCCGACACCAAGTGCCAACAAGCAGCAGCTGATGCCTTCCGAGCATTCTGTTTTAAATTGTTTGAAGATTAACGAGAATAGTTCATTGCTTCATACGCGTCAAAAATTTTGTTGATGTTTTCGCCTGTAGTGGGGCGAAGGAGATATAAACAGGAGCAGTTGATAAGGCTAAGGAACGGCTCAAATGATGAAGAGACAACAGAAGGAGATGATGACCCTTTGACACCGAAACTTGCTAAGATTCACGAGCAGTGATCCACTGCCGATGCTGTTCTTGCGTACATGGTGATAACGTGGAGATAATACAGAAGATGACTCAATCGCACAATTGGATCTGAAATGGTCTTTGCCAAAAAGCGTAATCAAAACGGCATTGTCGAATGGTGCAATCACGACTTGTCGCGATGGGTCTCTAGCAAAAGAATGGAATCAATTTTATCAAGACTAAGTCCGGGATTGCCAACATGAAAACTATTCGAATGATACTTGCAATGCGTCCCGAATGTGACTGGCAAATTGAACCATTGGATACCAATGCTGCTTTTTTAAACAGTGTGCTGGCAGACGAAGTTATAAGAAATTACCGCCGGGTGCCGACAATGCTCAGAAAAAGCATGTCAGCGAATATCTAAGTTGAGTGAAGCATTAAGTACCCGTAACAAGAAAATTTATCTGCCGTTTGTGAGAATGGCCTCAACTTCCGCGGTTGGGACCAGTGAATCTACTTCAATCGATCTCTAAAAGGTTTTTTTGGTCCACATGTGAATCACATGATTGTTGCAGCATAATCATATGGATTGATCGGGTCAAAGTGCGCAAATATGCTTTGAAGATGAAAAAGCTGGTGAGGGCGGAGTTGATTTTGGGTATGGAGATTGACCACAACAAGTCAATCAAAACACTTACGATGATACAGACTAGTTACATCGACGACGTAGACGGTCGGTTAGGTCAACGAGTTTCTAAGGGTGTCGACAAACCATACGCATCAGGATTGAAGTTGTCGTCAGCGCAGTCGCCTACAACAGAAGAGGGTCAATTGGTTATGTATGCACTCGAAGCTGTATCACTTCTTGATTAAATGGCTGCTGTACGTAATGACATGCTCTTAACCGAATGTTGCATACGTGATAACACAGCTGTCTACTTTTCTTGGAGAGCCCTGACTTCAACTCTAGAAATGTAGCTATATTCGTGTCACGCTATTTAAAGGCTGTACGCCTAACCGGTATTGACTGCTCAAGCAGTGGTAGCATTGCGATTAAAACATATTCAAATGCTGATTAAAGCAGCAATACCGATGACATGCGTTCGGAATATGGTAGTAATTCTAGGCACGCCAGTGGTTTTCAAATCATATTACCAGCGAGCAGCTGTGCTCAGCTCGGCGGTGGCTGAGTATATAGCCCTCGAAGCTGAAGGCATGCAGCTTTGAAAAGCAACCGAAGAGCGATCACTTTAACCAACAACACCAGATACAATGGTCGGGCGAAGCTATATCAGACACCATTAAATCCGCTTAAACGTGCAAGAAGTAGATACGAAAATATAGCTTGCAGATACGCTTAAAAAGGCACTCGGAACTACGCGAAGTAGCGGGTATGAAAGCGATCAACAAAAATCAACGGCGAATGTGAGTATTGGGATGACGCCGCTCAGTGCTGTTGAAAACCGATATTGCGGCTACATGTCG